TCTACTACGTCGGTGAGGAACCGCAGTGGTAATTTTCCACCTTGACTCTTCTTTTTGGGTTTAAGGCAGCTGCTACGAACTGACAGGATTTTAAGCAGCGAATGAATTGGCACATAAATTTGCGTGTTTTTACAAATTTGAAGCATTATCTGGTCACTCTGGGCCATATCGAGCATCCAAGCAGTCGAAATGTTGTTCGCGGCAAGATGCTCCGTGTTTGTGTCAGCATCGAACAGCAACATGTAGAAACCTTGAATGTTACTTATTTCATCCCTTTTTCGAAGTTTCCTTGGGTCTTGAGAAGGTGTCAGCATGTTCTGTCTGGAGTGCAAAGAGATGTTGACGAAAGTTGCTAATGCATGTGTCATCGAAAGTTTCAAAACAGGGCCACAAAGTTTTTTGTGCTAGGGCTAGGTCTGCTAGGTCGTCGAGTCGTCGAGTCCGGTCTGGTCGGATCGTCCGACGCAACAGATGATGCAGCACCGATCGGATGATGATAGGACCGTTATATAGTTATAGATATATTTTTGTCAGTCTGTTGTTGTCATATATGTGACGAACGAAATGCACTTTCTGCTTGTCGGAAGCGGGAATTGGTGCAGTTTTGGAACTGTCCTCGAATGAATACGCAGGATTCTCTGTCGTGCAAGTGCGAAGTGGGATGTCATTGAGCTCATCGAACAAAGACAAGCAGCTTTGCTTTGCAGGCTCACTGACAGACATATGTGTTATGTGACATTTCATCCGTCCAGTCCAGTCACTCCAGTCACGTCCAGTCGTCAAATGAAGTATGACGAGTTCCTATTTCATAAGGGTAAGTAGTAAGTAGTTGATTGTAATGCCGTTTGTGTATGGTGTGTATAATGAACTGCATGACCGGCCTTTGAACTGATGTTTTAGTTTCTGGCTTAATGGCAGGGTGACAGTGACAGTTGCCAACTGGTTTCGGTATGATCCATCAATTTTTGGGAGAGGCTCCAGATTCTGAGTGAGTCTCTTATGGGGCGTGTGATACTCGTCGCAAGTAGTCGCAATAGTTGTGTCGCGTTGCGCTTGCACTTGCAACTTGCAAGTAGTAGTTGACTTAGTTGACTTGACAAGACAAAATGAAGTTGTATCGTCGCTGTGGCTTCAAGCTTCAGGGGCAAGCCGCCCAATAGGTACGGTACGGTACGCCTGGAAGCATTGTTTGTTTTCATACTCTTGGGCAAACAATGCAGCAATGATGCAAAGTTACTTTTGCGAATGAATGAATTATTATCATAACTTGCTGCTGTGCTGCTAGGCTAAGTTAAGTTCCTAAAGCGCAACCGAGCTTAGCTTTGTGCCTAGGATGCCACGCATGGGCCTGTGTAGGCAGTGTAGGCCGCTTCCATGGACAGCTTTTTTTCGCTTTTAACAGATGGAGCGGAAGCCACGTCTGTCTGTGTGGCTGTCAAGTTTGCCAGATGCAAAGCAAGGCCTTAGTCTCAAGGCTGACCCAGAAGCCCCTTTGAGATACACGAAGAGGGCCACTGTCGTCCTCAATGCTGCTGCTGCAGATCTCCAAGAGATGTGCGAGTTAAAGCAACAAGGTGCCTGGTCTGAAGATGACTTTGCTGCAGGCACAGTTGCTGCATGGGCGATTGTTGAGCCGCTGTTCATTTGCAATCACCTTCAACCTTTGACAAGCAGCCAAAAAATACAACGGAAATTTTGGAATTCCGTGGGCCCTGGCGACGAACACTCCATATTTTTCTTCAGAATCATTGAGATCCATGCTTTGGCACGGCCTGTAAAAATTGATGAGTGGGCATGTCTGCAGAATCATGCTTTCTTTTCCGTGCTTACAGATGTTGCTTTCGCAGCGTTGGAAGCAGCCTGGCAGGAGCAAAACCCTGCATCTTGTGCTGAAGGGCAGCAGCAAGTTCCAGTCGATGTCGTTAGATTGCCACGGTGCTTCGCAGTCATGTGCAGCAAGAAAGCTTGGGATAGCTTCGCTGTGTGTGACATGTCCATCAAAGCAGGAGGTCAGAAAAAAGGCGGCCAGGGTGGGTGGCACCTTGGACTCTGCAAACATGTGCGCGAAGGTTTTGAAGATGTTCCATGGGTCGCAGACCCTCAAGAGATTGCCAAGTTCAGCATTCAAGATCCTGACAATGCTGAAGAGTTTCTTGACGAGATCAGGAATGTTGTGGCAGGACTGCAGCAAGGTGAGCATGTTGATTTGGAAAGGCTGTATTTTTTCCTTACAGCTTTTGCGGGTTACATGAACGAGTTGCGAGGTATGTTGGATTTTCACAGACATGGCAAACGCTCGCAGAACCAGGCTTTTGGATTGATTTATCTCATCAAGTGCTTTTTACTCAGCCAGTCCTTGAGATCTGCATCGCAGTTGAAGACTGCTTTGCACAGCGCGGCTGGCATAATTTTGCCCAAGCAAGCATCCCAGATCACGCAAGCTGCGTTGGATACGAACAGCAATTCTGTGCCCTCAGCTGCAGCAATCTCAAAAGCCAGAGGTCGCATTGATGTCTCGTGGATGCTCGTGTGGCGAGACCGACTCAAAGAGATGTTTGATGGAGCAGGTGCCGTGATTTATTTAGGCACCGACAGCAGTCCGCAAGGTGGTAGGGACTACCAGATTGTTGTGTTGGACATAGTCAAGAAGCAAGACCTTGCCGAGCTGCACACAGCCATCATGCGACTTGAGTGCTTTGCTCAGTGATAGCAGTTTGAGGTTGACGGTTGACGACGGTTGCAACCATTGTCCCAAATCTAGTTCTTGATTTTTAATCTGTTTTGCGTGACATGTGACCCGTAGTAGCCGCAGCCTGTGATGAGTGCAGAGTTTGCTAAGTCTGCTAGCCTGCTAGCTGCTGTAGTCTGAGTCTGTTGTTGCAGTACTTGGCGGCATGCCACAACCAATAACAACTGTGCGGGCCCAGGCGCTTTGAAAACCATCCTGGCGCCGTCATGATCGAGTCGGAGGCCATGGAGGAGTTCGCTCAGTTGTTGCATCGCCATGTGTGCCCATCAGTGCAGATCGGTTGCGGGAAGTCTCGTGCCACAGCGAGTTTGAAGTTTCATGCCGTCACTCATGCCTTGCGGCTGCTGTCCCCCTCGTTGCCATACTTGGACAGATTGTTTAAAAGCATATCTGTGTTCCTGTCAGACCAAGGTACTGAATCTGTGTTTTCTAGGTTGTCACCAGACACACCCCTGCTGGATTTAGTGCCTGCTTCACAGCCCTCGCAGACCGAAGCCGCAGATGTGGCAGAGGTAGACTTTGCACCTGAGCTTGAAGCCCCTGTAGACATAGCAGAAGTGGACCTTTGTGATGCTCCGCCTGCCCCAATCCCAGAGCATCCCCCCGCAGATGTGGCGCTCGAAGAGTTACCTGAAGCCCAATGCGTCGTCGATGTCACAGGAAGCTTGGAAGTTGATGACCTTCTGCACTGCATACACAATGCCACAAAAGGTCTTTCTGCAGTCATGAAAAGTTTCGACGATGTTGTGGGGCAATGCAAAAAGGTTGCTGATTTGTTGAGAAAAAAAGAATCAAAGGACCGTTTGATTGAAACTTGCTTTAGCCAAGGGCTTGCCAGGGGTTTTGCTTCCGAGATCAAACAGTTTAAGTCTCACGTGCACGAAGATCGCTGGGGCACGGTGGCAGAATGCATTCCCAATTTGCTGAGATTGAAAGCAGCCCTGAGATATGGGTGGGACTTGCGTGCCTTCAGGGGCTATGACCCTGCTGTGGTGCAAGAGCCCGCAGAGGCACAGAACGCTGAGGAGGAATTTGGAGCACAGGTCAGTGCTGTAAATGCAGCTATCGAATCAGAATTTTTCTGGGGGTTTTTGTGCGGTGTGGAGCAGATTGCAAAAGCACTTGAGCAATGCATTGCTTGGGCAGAGTCGTGTAGCTGTCATTGGCACCGTGATCGTGCAGAAGCCAGTGACGAGGAGAAGGCTTTGTGGCGTGTTTGCCCCATGCGCTGCAGAAGGTGTGCAGACATGTCTGCTGGAGAATTTCTGCAGCAAGTCCATGACAGCCTCGATGCATCTTCATCTAGAATCGCGCTAGATCTTCCCAGCACCCTCTCGGCAGATGAACGCATGAGCATCCTCACTGATTTTGAATCTGCCCGTAATCACATCTTGTACTACTTCCATTTGAAGTTGCAGTACTGGCAGGAACCACCCTGGTGTCTTTTTGGCATGGCTCACAAGTCAGGGGAGGTTGCGCTGCAGTGTGAAGCCAAGGCCCGAGCCTCTTCTTGCACCCATCCCCGTATCCAGCGCATCAAACAGGAGCCGCTGCAATCCCAAATCCAGGTTTGGAGAAGTCGTGGAGGAACTTTCGGTCCTGAACATGAGCCTGATGACCTCCCAGAGTTAAGGGCCTTCCTGTGTGAGTTGAGACTGGCCTCTTTGAACTCCAGATATGTGGAAGCAGAGCATGCCAAGGTTCAGGTAGGTTTGCGCAAGGCCCCGCGCCACAGCGATGCTTATGTGTCACTATTGCGCCGGATGCCAGGGCTCACAAAGGAGCTGAAAGCCAATCCTCATATCCTTCCCCTGCTGGCTGATAAGCTTCAGAAAGTTCGGCACGGTAAGGACGCAGTTCAGGTGCTTGGGCTCTCAGGTCATCCAGCTTTCTCAAACACTGCAAACCCTCGCGATCCTTTGTCTTGGAAGATTGTTTATCATTCCGATCCCTACACCAAGTTCACCATGCCCGCCCCTGAGCTAGTGTTTGGTAGCAACCAGCCCCCGGGACAAGGTAGAAGCGTCAGGGAACTGCTAGATGCAGAGCAGTTGGGCGATGCTGCTGCCTTGCATCACAGCCTCATGATTCAGCACCTCTGCAAGTATCCTGCCGAGACTGGCTCTGTTTTCTCCATGGAGTTTGAGGCTTCAGCTTTTCAGTCACTCACAGCAGTCATGCAAGGATCACTTCCTTCGGCAGCACCAGCCTTGGAAGACACAAGTGAAGATGCTGCGGTGGAGTTGCTTTCAAGCCGTCTGCAGAGCCTAGACTTGTTGAGCCACACGGCACCAAACATGACCGGGAAGTCTGCGAACATAGTGTTTTGGAAGATAGTAAACATTTCCGTCACCAAAGTCAAACGGCCAAAGTTGGATGAGGAACTTGACTTGAATGACAGTTTGCTCGTTGCTCTTCACCGCTTGATTGATATCGACATGAGCAAAAAAACTTTGCTAGTTAGCCTAGATGCAAACAACCGCACTTCCCAGAACGGCTCCTTGTCGCCAATGCTGTTTTGTCCTACAGTCTTGAGTAGTCCTGTTTTGAAGACTCTAAAGGTTTGGCGGGCTGACAACAAGGAAGAGTTTCGGTTGCAGGATGAAACAGGGTTTTCTGCTGCAGAACGAGCCTTGCTGCCAGGTTTTCTTCAGCGTTGCGTGTCGGAAAACAACGATGAAACTGTTTCCAGAAAGCTGGCTCAGAGTGGTGTGATTGAGAAGCTGACAGAGCAAGGCCTGATAGATGGGCCTCCGTGGAGACTGACGCAGGCAGGCAAGAATGCACTGGTTGTTGGCCAGCGACTGCACAGCTTCGAAAACGTGTTCCGTGTACCCGAGCAGGCCCCTGAAGACCCCTTAGAGTGCATGCAGCTCAGCACGTACCATCTTGTCAAGCTTTTGGAGGCCTCCGGATTTCAGCACGAGCTTGTCGATGTGGAGGGTGCAAAGCGTGCAAAACTTCACCCTTACAGATGCTTGCAAGAAGGTCAGGCTGCAGGCAACAAGGTGTGGTACACTAGGCGGGGTTCGCTAGGTGTTAGTGGTTGGTACTTGGTTGCATTGCTTTCTGCTGAGAAGCATGGAAAGGATGTCCCACATTTCGCGAAGCAAGCTGAGTATCAAAGCTTGGTAGATCCAAACTTCGTGCCTTCCCGAAAACGTACTCGCCAAAAAATGCTGTATGATTCCGAGAAAGGTTTCTTGTGTGATTGGCCTGAGGATGCCATTGCTGTGGCTCCTAGGCCCAAGCGTCGCAAGCGTCAGCGTCATGCCAGAGAGAGCGTTGAAGATGCTGTCCATGACGGCTTGCCAAACATGCTTGAGGATGGCAGGCGGAATGCTCTTGAAGATGCTGCACAGGCATCCAACTCTGAGCAAGAAACGTATGCGGTGCCAGCAATCGGTGAGGCTGCCCCTGCCAGCCTTCCAGCTTCAAGCTCATCCTCGTCTAGCAGTGGAAGCACTGACAGCAGCTCCAGTGCGAGTGATGATGACAGTAGCAGCAGTAGCAGCAGTAGCAGCGGCTCCCCTAGTGCTGCTTCTGCCGAGGCCGACCGGCATCGCGAGGCTCCTCGTGCAGCAGAGCCACGCAGGAGGACAGCAGAGCGTGTTGTCGACTGGGGCATTCTCCGCCTCACTCCCAAGCTTGCCGCTGATGGTTCCACTTTTGCTTGGCAAATGACATGCCGGCATCCGGATCATATTCCGTGCAATAGGACTCGCAATGTTGCTTCGTGTGCCAGCGAAGAAGAGTGCCTGAGAATGCTGAAGCAGTGGGCGCTGTTCGGTGTGGAGTGCGCAAGTAAAGCAGATCACAAGCGTGTGTGGTCTCGTGTAGAAGCGATGCTGGAGGATGGTTCTTTGCCCAGCACTGCAGCACTAGATGCACAAGCCGTTACAGACATCGCCGCGTATTCCTGACTCCGCTTCTGCAGTGAGAGAAAGAAAGATGTCTTGAGATTCAAGATCAGACTTGTGCCTAGGCTCAGGAGCTGCGCTCAAATTCTGCGTGATGTCATGAAACACTGAAGTGTTTGAGATGTGCGTGTTGAGTCAGGATTTCGATGTGAAGGTTCGCACCAACCATGCCACGGTAGTGGTAGCTAGTTTTGAACTTGTGCAGTGACTGTTGCATCACTCAAGCACATGTATGTATCCATGTCGTGTGCAGGGCTGGCAGCAGAAGCTTGAGTGTCCTTGGTTTCCACGGCTGAGTTGAAAGGTTTATTTCAGGTGCCTCCTCAGATCTTGCAGCAAACAGAGTCTCACGTCAGATGTAGGTTACACGTAGAACAAGTTGAACTGTTGAACAAGCAGTTGAACTTTCACTCTGTTCCATGCGTGCCAGTAACTATAAACAAACTGCTCGTGAGCGTGCGGGCCTTGCGGCGTTTGGCATGTCTTGTGCAGTCGTTACCGCAGACTGTAATTCCCAGCCACAGGAGCCATCCAGAACGGATTTAGGGAGTTTCCTGCTCAGTTGGCGTTTGGGGCGATTGGGGGCGGTTTTTGGGATTTTGGGTGGTTTGGAGCTTTTTCAAGCTTTTTCAACAAAGCAGGAGCTGGTTTGCAATTTTGCGGTTTTCTTGACTCAGAACTAAACTTTTGGTAAATCTGGCCTCCTGGGGCCTCCCTGGCCCGCTTTGGGGGCCTGCCTCGGAATGCCTCGGAATGCCTCGGAATTGGTCCTGGGCCCCTCGAATGATTTAGGCCCAGCAGGTAGCCCAGCAGTCCAAAGCGTTAACGCTGTCCTCGAGCCAATTGGCTTGCGGCCAGTGGTCGGGGTAGTTTCGTGAGCTGAAATCCTTCGAGGCCGGGGTGGCCCTGCTGGCCCGCCTCGGAATGCCTCGGAATTCCCGTGCTGCCACCAGCCCTCTTTGGAGCCGTGACGTCCACCCAGTAGGTTTGTGGTAGGTTGACACAGTAGACCTGCAATTTCACAAAGGTTCCAATAAATTGCTAGGTTTTGTACCAAAACACTACTTTTGGCTTTCTGTAGCTCTGCGACACCACTTTGGCCAAGTTTGGCATCATGGCCGCTGCGACACCACTTGGTGGCAGCAGTAGCAAAGGAGAAGAAGACCCCAGCCCCGCTGGCCCAGCCGGGGTCTGAGCATTGCAACTGAAGACTTGTTGTACATGTCGTGCACACGTGCAATGGTCTCTGTAGAGTTCGCTGAAGATTTGGCTTTGTAGACCATAGTAGACTCTGTAGGATGTATTGATTAATTGATTCAGTGCATCAGTTCATGTGAGCCGTGCCGGTTGCTCAACGGTTGCTTTGTGGGCAAGGTCGACAGTGTCAACGACACCGTGATATCCGACGAGATGGACGACGTCGTCTCTAGCAATGAGGGTTTGGAGGCCGGTGAGGTTGCATGCGGCGCATGACCGCATCTCACAATGTCGCAATGTAGCCGCAGTAGCCTGGCTGTACACAGTCTGAGTCAGCTTGATTTAACGCGTGTGTGACAATGCTTGATAGCTTTCCTGCCCTGCTTTCCTCAAACAACCCAAAAGTTTTGGTTTAGCTTGTTCCCGAACAATATATGAAGACATCAACGAGATTCTTGAATTGCAGATTGCAGGATGATGGTGCCGACGCTCTTCCTGCCGCTCTGCTTCTTGATGAGTCTGAGAGCATTGAACCGCTGCCACAGCGGAAGCGGCAGCGTCTTGAGCCTTCTGCGAGTTCTGTCAGTTTTGTGCCAGAGCCAGATGAGTCAGATGTCTTGGCAGCAGCAGCTGCACAATTCCGATCCCGGTCGACAGTGCCAGTGGTGCCCAAAGGCCCCGTGTCCGTTGAAGAAGCCTTCAAGTGGCCAGAGAGAAAGCTTGATCAGGTGTGCAAAGATGCAAATCGCGAGCATCGTTTGAGGTTGTTGCTTGAACATGGTGTGTTGGCTTCCTCAGACTTCAGCGGCATGGGTGGCGATCGAGAGATCATGCACCAGCTAGGCTTGGTGATGCAAGCCCGTAACTGGCCCCTGGATGCGCCCGCTCGCTTCAGGCATGTGCGTGCTTGTGACATTGGGAAATTGCAACGAACCGTGCTGTCGTATGCGTCAATGAACCTTGATGGTTTTCGAAGCTGCGTGACTGGTGACTTGATGGAACGTTTGTCAAACACGTTCCTTGAAACCGTCACTGATATGCAGCCTTCAGAGGGAGACGATGTAGACACTTGCGTGCACAAGAACTCCTTGATCGACTCTTTCATCAGAGAAAACCGTGCAGAGATATTCACTGGCAGCTCTTGCTATTGCTATGTGCATGACGCCATGTGCTCGACTGATCGTGGCTTGTCCTTGCAAAATGAGCAAAAGCAAGTGCCCTTACGTATGAACCTTGCCGGCACCACTTGCGTCGGCTGGTCAGCAGTTGGTACCAGGAAGGGGTTTGGGCACACGTCCGAAGTGGCGCACAGTGTGTGGCTGAATGAGAGGCTGCACAATGCCGAGGCTTTAAAGGAGGATGTTTTCATACATGAATGCACCGCCCTGTATCCAGCCCAGCAAAAGCTTGCCGATCCCTTGTCGAAGACGCATGTAGTGATCAGCATCAGGACAGGACCCCAGTCCCAGGGTTTCCCGTCCTCCCGCTGCCGAACTTTGTCTGCAGGCCTCTCCAAAGCCACGACGATATGGATGGGCCCCACAGCTCCAGACTTGTTGCAGCGAGACTTCGACAGCATCTTTGCTACAACGATGGAGCTTTCCGGAAATATCTTTTTTCTGGAGAATGATGAAAGCCAAAGACGGTGCTGCATAGACAAGGCTGTGTCTCAGCGAGGGAGAAACCGCCTTGCGTTGCACTCCCTCAACCGTTGGGACCTGCTGCAGAGTTGCTTGGCCCCTGGTGCGGCAACCCGGCTTCGGGAGTATGATGCGGTGCGTGCAAAGCGTGATGATCCTGAAAGTGCTTTCCTCGCGGACGTGGAGCATTGGCCGGGGCAGTGCTTGGGTTCGGGATGGCCCTTGTTTCCTTGTCAGTTGAAGCATGGAACTGTTGTGAGTTGGCAGCATCAGCGTGCAGCGACTGGCATGGAGCATCTTGCCGCACAGGGTTACCATGTGTTTGACGCCGTGGGGCCAAAGACTCCGCTTTACAGCATTCTTTCAACACTTGATGATTGCAAGCTGAAGCAGTTGAGCGGCAATGGTTGGTCGCTACCTGCCGTGTGTGCTTGGATGCTGTATGTGTGGAGCAACACATGCAAGCGCCCTCCGAGTTCCTTGCCCCGTTGGGTTTCATTCTCGCGAACCAGTTTGGACTCGGATGATGATGTTGATGATACCAATGGACAGACCGGTTCAGGCTCAGGTTGTTCCCAGTCGGAGCCGAATGCGGTAGCAGCATGTGCTGATGCTGCAACCGAAGTGCCAGAGCAGGTGCATAGTGCAGATTCAAATGATGATGTTCATGCAAGCTTGGTGACCAATTTGGTGTACCAGGAAGAAGATGATTTCGCCCCGCAGACTTGAACAGACTTGCACCCAGCAGGTCCGGTGCAGCTGTGTGTTGCAGCCCTTAGCATTCAGATGCAGTTTTGTGCAAGCGGCCTCGGGTGTCGCCTGGCGTTCCTAGTACTGCGCTCTCTACATGCCTTCAGAACATGCAAGAAAGGTGCTGGTAGCTTTGCTTTTGCAGGGGTTCGGGTCCAAGTTGGATTTGGGGTTTTTGTTCTATGTTGTTAGGTAACTTTGAGGTGATGTAGACGTATTATTTTATAGGTCCGGTTGACACGTCTTGGGAGGCTCACGAGCCAGTTTTGACCACTGGTCTTTGGTACAAGAAAGGCCTCAAGGCTCAAGGACTCACAAATACCTGAGACCATTCTATCATCAGAGGCCTTCAAGAACCGTCACGCTTTACCCGCCCACCCCGTAACAGCGTGCTTTACAGGGTCAGGGGGCTACCCGCCCACCCACCCTTCCCCGTAAAGCGCACCCTAAGAGCGTGCTTTACGGGGTCAGGGGGCCACCCGCCCACCAAGATGCAGTCTCTGCCCGTGGTGAAAATATCCCAGTGAAGAATCGTCAAGTCTAGTCGGTCTCGTACTAGTAGATGTCCTTGCATGAAGCATTGGAACCTTTAGTTTTAGCCAGAGCCCAGGTCCCACCGAAATCACAGAAAGCCCAATGCCCCCTCAAAGCCACCAAGCAGTTTATCCTAGGAGGTCTGGCTAGCGTAGAGAAACTAAAAGGCGTAGCTGCAACATGTCAGAATCGTGCTGCTGTCACTTGCTCTTGCAGCTCTCGCCAGTGCCAGTGCTTGTGCACCATCAGGAAACATGTCGTGCATGTCATGGGCAGGACAGTCTACATGATAAATCTAGTACAGGAAGTAAGACTACGACTGATGCTGTTTGCATGTGTATTGTGTGTTCGCAATAGTGTAGTCACCGTCTCAGATCGTGTGTATCTGCTTGTGCGTCACGGTGCAGAGTGGCAGCTGCACTCAGAGTGACTTCAATGGACGAGGAGCTGGATGACTTTGACCTTGCAGATCTTGGCACTAAGCCCAAATCCCCAAAGAAAAAAAACAGGCTCCCCGAAAGCCAAGGGGAAGAACGCCAGAGTGAAAGCCGCCGCTCGGGCCAGTCCAAAGAGGGGTGGGAAGACCGGTAAGGGTCAACGGCCTGGCAAGCTTCCTTGTATTTGTTGCGAGGAGATGAGGGTGAGCAATTCGCGATTTTGCAAGGACCACAAACGCTCTGCAGATGCGATGTCGTACCAGGCAGAGAAGTCTGATGATCCTGAAGCCAAGGAGACCTTTGACCAGATCTTCGCGGATGATGCTGCCATGGCTGCGGCCGTGAACCAGTTCTCCAAGGACAACCCGCCCTGTGCCAAGTACAAGCGCAAGCAGATGATCGATTGGTTGCAGTACAAGCGTAGCTATGGCACCAGGGTTACCCGCCGAGATCGTGGCACTGACGTGCCAAAGACTGAGAAGGAGTTCAAGCTTTGGTGCGTGAACGTGAAAGGCCTGACAGAGCAGGAGACCAAGGATTGGTGGGCCAAGCTTCTGGACTCCCCCGGTGTGGACCGTGACTATGAAGGGTACGGTGGCAAGTTGCGTCTGTACATTCCGAATGCGGAGGAGGGCCGCGACCGCCTTCGTGACCAGTACATTGACAACAGGCAGGAAGAGGGTTCTGCCGTCGACAAGCGAGCAAAGCCCCAGGACCAAGAGGCCCGGGGTTTCCAAATACAATTGTGCTACTTGTCATGTCCATGTTCTTCTTTAGATCCGGGGGGGACTCTATGTCTGTATAACTTAATGCGACGGGCGTAGCTGGGTTTGGTGGCCATGCATGTGCCCCAAAAAATTTTGCGTGAGCTTGAGTTTTATGTTTACACAGAATTTTTAGTTTTCGAGAATTGCATATTTGCCCACCGTATTGAGCTTGGTCAGGAGCTGCGGAGGCATGTGCATCGCCAGCAAGTCAGCTTCGCCGATGCGTTCTTCCAGGGCGGCCACGGCGGCAGTCGATCTTCGACTTCTGCTGGATCTAAGCGCAAAGCCGGAGACGAAGAAGACCCAGATGCAGAGAAGCCGAGTGACCCGCGACACGCCAAGAAGGTTTGCATGGAAAGAGAGGTGCCCAAGTTCGGTGTGGCCATGTCGAAGAACATGGCAAGCCTCAAAGTGGAGATGCAGAAGTCGTTCGTCCTTGCCAAGAAGGCGTCGGAGATCTTGGAGAAAACGGATGCCCCCCTGAATGACAAGCCCTCCTACATGTTCAAAGCCACTTTGCAGTTCAGAATGCAGCTGGGTGTGCGATGGCTGGACGACGTTAATAAGGTTGTCGTTTTGAAGACCAAGAATGCACGTGCAGCCGGTGGCCTGAATGCCGGTGAGACACCGAGCCCACAAGCTGCCGTTCCTGGTCTGACAGGTTCTTCAAGTGACCAGTGCAAGGGCGAGGGCAACGCGGAGAAGGGCCAGGGCAACCACGGCAATGACCAGGAGATCCCCGCGAAGACAGACAACCCCGGCAATGACAAGGAGATCCCCGCGAAGACAGACGACCCCGGCAATGACAAGGAGACTGCCACTACCCCGAAGAAAGAGAAGCTAGAGCAGGATGCCAGGTCCCCTGCCCAAAGCGAGAAGTCCATGCAGATCGTGTTTGCAAACTCCGAGCCGCAACTCTTGCAGGACTACAAGTCTGCTGTTCGTCAGCAAAGTACCTCGGAGCTTCTGGCCAACAATCCCCACAAGAAGCCCTTTGACCAGGACCCCAAAACCTTCAGGACGAATGCGGAGATGACCAGAGAGATGCAGCGGATCATGGAGATCAGTGATGAGAAGGAATTCCTCAAAGCACGTGATGCATGGAATGCAACCGTGACAACCGTCAAGGAGTTCATCAAGAACTTGGGGAGGGCTTCCTCGGACCTGGTGACCCACATCAAAAGCTTGGAAACGAAGGCCAGGGCGGAGAAAGAGAAGTCTGAGAAAGAGCGTCAAAAGGCGGATGTGGCGAAGGCCCGTGAGGAGGCTAAGAAGGCTGCCGAGGACATCCGCAGAAACCTTGCAAAGTCTGAGGCCAAGCCTGTCCTGTTCGACGTGGACTTTGCCGCCGCCAAGGTTCCCGAGATTTGCAGGCACGAGGGCAACGGCTTCCACGACAAGAAAGCGGATGAGCCTTGCCTGTTGATCAACAACGACAAGCAAAAGCTTTGGTTGGCCAGCGAGGCCGTGGACAAAGCTCTTGCTACGTATGGCACTGCATACAAGAAGGCCAAGGACGTGAAAGCCAACGGTCGCGGCCAGACTCCTATTCAAGATGCAGCTGCTAAAGATGAAACTTCTGAGTTCCTGTTGAAGTTGTTGCCCGACGACACCAAGGTGCTGAACATTGAGAACATTGTGGAGGGCGGTTCCGCGTTCATGGACAACTGCTGGTGTTACTCCTTCATGCCGGGCAATGTTTCCTTCAGCATCCCTCCCAATGGTGCGGCTTTTGTCAGGGCTCAGGCTTTGGGAACGACATCGTTCGTGCTGTTCAAGTTGAAGTCATTGCTTTCGTATGTCAAGAGCAAGCACGCAGCAGATGCTGACAAGAAGCCTGCGTTGGAGCTCGTGACTCAGTGGGGGCAAGACGCAGTTGCAAATGCTCTGGGAGAGGAGGCAGACGGCAAGGTGGAGATGATCCGTGGAAGCTTGAGCGCGAACCAGGCGATGTTCGTTCCAAGTGGATGGGTGATCTTGGAGCGTGCCCACGCCGAGCAGGCAGCAATCTACGGGGTCCGCAAGTCCATGTTCATCGACTCCGTTCAGAACTACATGGGCTACGAGGCTATCAAAATGTATTACGAAGCATGCTCTCCGAACCGCGACCTTTCGAGGATGACTACAATTTTGGAGGCATTCATGAAGAAGCCATGAATGAAGATTTGATTTTGTTGTGCGTGCGGCAGGCCAGCGGAGTCTGGCTTTAGCTGGCACATGAACGAGGATCGTGCAGCATCCAGGGTGGAGCGGAAAGTGCCGTTTCGCCTGTGTATGAAACTAGGCTTTATGTCATTTACGCCTTACAAGCCTTCAGCTGTCTGAGTTGTTTACAAGGAGTCTTATCAGATCAGTTTCAATCTTTCACGCACTTAGTATTACAGTCAGGACTGGCTATTCAATATGGCAAACACCTTAAACAATACCAAGCCCGAAGTTTTAAACCCCAAGCTGGGGCTTTTGCAACACACACTCTCCCTGCATCACTAATCACTTAAATCCTGAGTTGTGTCTACGTACAAGTCGTTTTCAGTGTCCCAATGTGCTGTGCAAGTTTCATCTGTGTCACGCGAAGGGATTAAACAGCCTGATATTGCAAGCCATGGAGAGTGGATTTATGAAATACCCATCGTCTCACCAGGCCCTAGTTGCAGTGTTTGGGGGGGGGGTTTGAAAGGCATCTCTTACGCGCTCCTGTTCGTGACAATGCCCCCGTAGTTCCCAAATGACGCCCGACAGCCGAATGTAGTCGATCTTGCTGGCTATGTTCTCCAACGCAGTCCGTTTGCTTGGATATTCGGATTTTGCTTAATCCTGTGGTTGATGGCCTCTGGGATATGCACACCCAGCAATGTGGAAATTTGCCAAACCGCAGCAGTAAAATAAAGTGCCA